TTTGACTATTTCGTTTGAGTAATGGCTATGGAGAATGGTGATGAATCAATCAAGGTTTCAATAACCTCTAAGCAACTAGTGTGATGTACATGGAGTTTACTACACTATATTACGTTTTAGGAATCAGTTACCATCCAATAAGATCATAATTCAAAAGGGCTTCTGCATGTAGGAAGAGAATATGTCCTGAAACATGGAGTAGTAGTTATCATTATACTGCATTTCTGTCCCAAACGGATCATCCCCAAACGCATCCATATAACCGAGCTGAAAATCGAGCGATTTTTCCAGCTCACTCCACTTGGGCTCACTCTGGACCTCCTTACTATTATCACCACAACCAAACTCAACATGCTCCGAACTACTCGAGTCCGTATGCAGTTTCGGAATCGAGTCAGACGGGTCAAACTGCAAGTAATCGTTCATTTCTCTCCCCATGGCCGGTTTCGAGTCGATGTTTGGCTTTTGTTCTTCGCTGTCCGAGAACTGCACGTCCTTAATCTGGTCCACATTGTAATGCTTCTCGAGAGTCCCTTTCTTGTTGTATATTCGACATAGGACCCAGTCATCAAGCTGCAAATGATTATTAATCAATTAAATTAATTTCAATTTCATAATAAAATGATCTGCCCTCTGAAAGAGTGTGTAAACTGTAAAGTACCCTGAGATTGTTGCCCTTGCTGTTGTGGGCAGATCGGTCAACGTTGGCCAAACGGTATTCGTGCATAATCCAGTTGGTTTTGACTCCTCTAGGGGCTTTTCCGGCATAAAAGACGAGAGCTTTCTTGATGCCGAGGGTCTTGGGCCGGCCCACGGGCTTATCGGCTCCTGTAGCTTTCCAGTAACCGGTCCCTGCCGCCCGATTTGGCCGTGAGCCGTTGGGATATTTGCGGTCTCTTGGGGAGAAGAAGTACCACTCTTTTTCACCGTACAGTGCCATTTCTGTTTTCCATAGAGAATAAATAATAAGAAAATGAAGAATTGGAAAATTAAATAGAAAGCAATACAAAAAGGGCAGGTTAATA